GCACTTGCGGAGGAAGGTAATGTCTGACTCTGATGTCTCGTGTCTATATGAATGTGACCCGGCTGGACGGACATCCATCACATGTGCAACGTGTCAGATCCCACAGCCTGCTTTTCTAGTGCCTGCTGATCTGTGTCAGTGTTGGTGGTGGTGGTGTGATGTGTCAGATCTGTCAGTGTGTGGGATCGCTCAGTTCAGCTGCCTGCTGTCACAGTGTTTTATTTCCCCGCATTGCCTGGGAATTCCAGCCTGGGATCTGTCAGAGTGTGGATCCATCATCCTCCACTCACTGCAACTGTCACCCTGCCACTGACAGCCACATAGACAGTCTGTCTGTGACACTGATTTTGTCTTTAATATTGGTGTTGGTGGCATCTTATGGCACCTATTGTTGCAAATTAAAAGAAGTTTAGCAATTTCATGTTTTGTTGATTTTTTTTTTTTTGGGGGGGGGGGTGCAAGAAGCTGGTCTTGCCTAGCTCCAGCCCTGGCTGCAACTACTTGTTAATGACCTTTGGCTTGCTTACTGACTATGCTTATGTTTGATCCATACCTGCTATATCTACTGCTGGACCCTGGCTTGCTCACCTCCTGGTGAGGTGATCCTAAGGACCAACACACAGCAAAATCCATCTCTGCCTTCAGGAGGTCTGGTGAATACTGGTTAGTACCTAGACCCCACACCTCGGGTTAGCCCTGCGTTATCCGCCAGGGTGACCTGCTTGTATACCTACTAATGGGAGTCTCTCCACTGTTATAGCTTCAGGTCTCCAAGCCTGACCCCTTACCGTGACACTCTCTTTCCTCATCTTCATAAGGGAGGTGCTCTGTAGTCCATAAGGGCTGAGAGAACTAATTGGGGTTTCAGTAGAGTTGCCCCAAAAGGAGCACAAAACAAAGGATCCTATAGTCCAACAATAATTTATTGGTTCAGTAAATGCTTCATTGCTGAATCACTGCTTCACTGATCCTGATCATATCAAACATTTCACACAGTAAGCAATCAAACCCTACATTTTATTATACTTAAAATGTAAGTTGGCCTTCAGGAGGATTTTCCAAAAATCCCCCAATACAATTCTATATCCTTGGAGTAGTACTTATCATGGAAAGGGCAACACTCAATGCATTTCAGAGGCCCCCTTCATCAGGGCTTAAAATGTAAGTTTTTCAAGAAGATCTTTCAAAAATCCCTCTATACAATTCTATATCCTCTGAATACAGTATTACAGATGCATCTGTTGAGGAGCCTCTCCACAAAACCAGCTGGTTCTTTACCGCTCTCCCCCCTGCCATTTACAGGACTGGTCAGGGGCAGGCTGACCATTTGAGCACTCGGGCACTGCCCAAGGGTCCAGGGTCAGTAGGGGGCCCCATGAGATGCCCCTGGTACCTTTCATTGACTGTTTCATAGGCTTTTTTGGGTGTGGGCAAGGACACAGGGGCCCCATGATCCCCTATTGCCCGGAGGCCCCATGCGTTGTCAGTCCGCCCCTGGGACTGGCTCAAACTACACATGTGCTCAATGTGCTCTTTCCACTCCAGCTATATTCAGTAGTGGCTGCTCCAGGTGTTCCAACCCTATGTGTGCACAGTGGGCAGTCCCCTTCTCTAGCTATGCTGTGAAATGGCCTGACAGGGGGAATGAGGGGCCAACTGGTATGTACTATCCCAAGGATATAGAATTCCATAGGGGTCTTTTTGAAAATATTTCTGGAGGTGAATTTACACCTTCAGCCCTCAGGAATGTAGAGAGGTCTGGGCTATGATTAAGGCCTCTTTGGCTGAACATGTTAGCACTGCTGTATCATATGGATTTTATACTTCATCAATGAAGAGCATTGTACAGTCCTTGCTTCAAAACAAACTATTGCTAGATCATGGAAGAAACCCTTCTTGTGTATTCTTGAGGTGACGCACAGAATAACGCAGTTCATGATTCATAGCAAATTGAAGCCACGATCTTAGATCAGATTCCAAAACACCTAAAAGTTTGGCAAGCCTGGATAGACCATTTTTTTGCCACCTAATTTTGATCAATCTCTGTTAGAACCCTGATTGATGCATGCAGAGCAAGCAGACTCCTCCTGCTGGCCTCATGGACGTTGATGGCTTTTGGGAAACTCCAAACACCCCCTCCTGACCTCTCCTCTCTTTTCTCTTCGCTTCTTTCTTACTAGCTTTTTTTCCTCCTTCTTTTCCTTTCCTTCTTTGATTGCATTTTATGTTCGCAATAAGATGTGTTACAAATCACTCCGAATAGCTTGGAGCTTTGTGTACCTCATGCTCCCAGTGTGACAGGGCACCTGAGAATGTTCTGTTAGTTACCACTTGTTCTGTGATGTTTTCTTATGCAATCAATCATTTTACTCATTATAGTTTCAAAATGTTGTAATTTATGACAACGGAGTATTACAAACCTACTTTTACAGTTATCTGTACATGTTATCTGTACACCTATGTGTTTCTCTAATAAAAATTTGGAACAAGGAAAGAAGAGCATTGTACAGTCCCAATGCAATATATCTGGGCCCCTGAAATGCATTGGTTGTTGTCCTTTCCATGGTTATTTACTGATCCAATGGTGAAACTGTATATAGCCTACTCAATTTGGGTGACCTGTTCTTTTAAGGGGCCTCCAGTTTGTGGAGAGCTGCCAAACCCCGATCAATTTGACTGGGCTAAAAATCTAATTTCTGCTGGAAGAGAATCCCTATCCAGAACCTCACCACCACACCATTTGGGATTTCAGTGCAGCAGAGGCAGAAATTAGGACCTTGATTGATTTCTGGCAGGATCAATAGGCATAAATATCTCTCCTCACCTCATGTTCCTATCACAGTTTATATTTTTCATCATTTTCTGTATTAGAGGCAATGGTCACCATGGGTGAATCTCCAAAATGGGGGTGAAGACAGCAAATACAAATTGGAGATTTCTAAACTCCCTAGTTCTATCCACGGTGGTTATTTACTGATCCAATGGTGAAACTGTATATAGCCTACTCAATTTGGGTGACCCCTACTTTTAAGGGGCCTCCAGTTTGCGGAGAGCTGCCAAACCCCGATCAATTTGACTGGGCTAAAAATCTAATTTCTGCTTGAGGAGAATCCCTATCCAGCACCTCACCATCACACCATTTGGGATTTCAGTGCAGCAGAGGCAGAAATTAGGAGCTTGATTGATTTCTGACAGGATCAATAGGCATAAATATCTCTCCTCACCTCATGTTCCTATCACAGTTTATAATTTTCATCATTTTCTTCATTAGAGGCAATGGTCCCCATGGGTGAATCTCCAAAATGGGGGTGAAGACAGCAAATACAAATTGGAGGTTTCTAAACTCCCTAGTTCTAGTCACAATGAAAAAATAAAAAGTATTGATTTTTCATAAATGTTATTGAATAGTGGTACCAAGTTGCCAAAGAAGCCCTAGGCAGCTGCCTCTTCTGCCCATGTGTGTCCCCAGCCTGGCCCCTAGTTCATCTGAAAATCTTAATGCTCATGCTTGTTTGGCCAGATAATAAACAAAAATGAACCTTTTGTTGTATGTTTGCCCTGACTTCTCATATAACTTAGTAAAACAAAATAAATGGTTCCCCTTGTTTAAATTTCTGTTAAAGTACAAAACAGCTGTAGATGTTGTCGACGAAATATCTCCAGGCGCCCCCACACAGCATCTTTTGTTGTATTGCAGAAATGTTTTCAAAGGCTGATAAAAAGCCTAGAACTGTGTAATTTTCCCCAGACATATTATCATGTTTATGCATTATGAGATTAAGTGGTGTTTGATTAAAGTGTTCTGGTAGAACAGAGCAACAACAGATCCTGTCTGGAATATCTTGTGTACTCTATTGGTAAAACGAACGTTACAGTGAGCACTGTGAGGGGTTAATACTGTGTCCGGGGTTGTCTCTTTTACTCAAAAGTGTCCCTAAAATAAGTGATTACGTTCAGCCATTGAGCTTGATTCCTGTTGGTTCTGTTGTCACCTACAAAAGCACAGTGGAAGAAGGGGTAGTTTCACTGAGGACAGCCAATAGCGTGAGTAGAGCCTTTGGGTTCATGCTCTCTGTTGATTCTATGTTAATAGTAATTTAATATAGCCAGTAGAATTATTATTCAGAAGAAATCACTGTAGGAATTACAAAGCACATAAGGGTTTATTTCCCATTAGTGAACATATCACACTTTAAAGTGGAACTATAGTCTGTAATAAAACAAACTTGGTACAGGCAGGTTCTTCTGCAATAAAATAAACCTACCTGCCAACTCAAGTCTTCAGTAGAACCTATACTGAGCTGCACATGAGCACCCTGGTTTACATTTCGGTACAGTGCCAGTCTGCAGGAATGAGTGGTGTAATGGCCAAAGAATAGAACCCAGAAAAAGCCAGGGAGAAGATGTGGAAGGGACTTTATTTTGGACTTTACTGGCGGTATGATTATTTCAGATCTTTGGTGCTGAAAGCGGTACCATTATTTTGCATGGAAATTTAGCGTTTTATATTGTAGGCCTGTAATTTTTAGGAATAACTCACTGAAATCTGTCCGAACAAAAGTCTAGTAAACATCCCGGGTAGGATAAAACATGAAATCATAAATTATAATTTAATAAATAATCATAAAAAATAATAATATAATAATAATAATAAATGTAATTCAATAATATAATCAAACCAAAAACACTGAAATTTGAAATATAGCGCCAAGTTCGCACATCACTGAGCAAAGTCGCAGAATCGTTTTCAGTGTCTGATGACGAATTTCCCCACGAATCATTATCACTCAATTCTGCAAGTGGTTCTGATTTACTATCGCTGTTCTCTAGCCGGTCTAAAACAGATTTTGACCTAAAGGGACGTTTTTTGGACGCCATAGACGTTTCTCAGTTTCCAGGCAGAAAGAACTGTAAAAATGCAGGCAGGGGACAGGACAAAGCACTCGGGACAAAATGTATGTGAAATGGTTTGATACAGTAATGTTATACTATGTGATTTTAGTGATTTTAGTGAATGTCACTTTTTGTCATTTTCAAATTTCCCGCCGGTTCCGTCCCCGTACATCCCGACGCTCGCAGGGGACGGAACCCAGTTGACAGATGCCGGCATCGGCCAGAGGACATTGCCGGGGACACTGCAGGGGGGACATCACGGTAGCGCAGAACAAGGTAAGTGCAAGAGGGATCCCGGAGCAGCGCCACATGGTAAGCCCGAGTGTAGCTCGGGGTTACCGCTTGTGGTACTGAAACTTTACCCCGAGCTACACTCGGGAATACCGCCAGGGAGGCTATTATCAGATGTGTTTACACAAGATTATATTCAACCAGGATTCACACATTTCCAAGTGAAGCTAATTGGGAAAAAAAATGTGAATCCTGGGTGAAAGTTGTGTGAATCTTGCCTAAAAACATTAAAAAAAGACCCCTTTAAATTGTGAGCTAGAATACTCACTAAAAAATATAAAATATACTACAAATGTTTTCATATTTAGACTGAGAAAAATGTAATTTATATTATCAAGTGTACATAAGGAACATGATATTTGGCACTTTCCTGCTCACCATAGTTGGCACTTCCCAGGCATGATTAAGGTCTAATGGCTGAAATGCATTGGCTTTTTATTCTTCTGTATTCCACTATATTTAACAAAGGATGACCGTACTGTGACCAGCTTTTTTCATGGGCTATGCAGCATTGAATGTCATTGGAGGCATTTTAGCCCGAGCACCAGGTATAGGGAGCTGTTTATTGCAGTAGAGGTTGCAGTGCTGTCCCATTTGCTTCACCCCCTGCTCATCTTATCTCAAATGGCATTTTTGAGTCAGCTCAAAGAGTTAGGGATTACTCTATGGGGCTTATATCTTTATCATTTTATGTTAGCTGTTCAGCAAGGGTGCTAATTTAATGAACAGACATACAGATAACAAGACATACATCATGGGGCCATTTTAGGGAATATCCCCTTACCAGCAAGCTATAGTCACCAATTCACACTGCCCTGCCATCTCCCAGTTGAAGGAGTCTACCCCGGGTAAATCTGATATGAACGTTTACCCAGCAGATAAGGTCACTACCACCTTCCATGTGATAGTATTTGGGCCTGTCAATTGGCAATCAAGACCTGAGCACTGTCACAAAGGGGATTTCCCTTGCTTCTCCATACTGCAAGGGCTCTGATAGAGTAGGGGGGTGACGATGGAGGAAAGGGCTGGCCGGGGGGTAGATGGTGATCTCTTGAGAGACAGTTGGGTTGATTTACTAAAACTGGAGACAGCAAAATCTGTTGCAGCTCTGCAAAGAAACCAATCAGCTTCCAAGGTTTTTTTTGTCAAAGCTTAATTGAACAAGCTGAAGTTAGAAGCTGATTGGCTACCATGCACAGCTGCACCAGATTTTGCATTCTCCAGTTTTAGTAAATCTACCCCATTGCAAATTTTCCCTTAATGCACAAAGGGACACTTTTGTAGATTTACTAAAAGCAATAGACCATGTTCACTTTGCTAGGGAATTTTCATTTGCCTTAGTGAATGTGGTTAAAATTCACTTTGCAAAGAATACCCAATACAATCAAAGAATTTTAACAAAAAAAACATACTTCTGCTTGCACATAATTGGATGATAGAAATCAGCAGAGCTTGACCATAATCACTAAGCTAGAGGAAAATTCCTTTGAAAAGGGAGAATTTACTTTGACAAGTGAACAGCCTATTTGCTTATAGTCAATCAACCCTGGTTCCTCTTCAACTCCTAATTTGTACATGCGCCCCTTTATTTAGCTGTGCTAAGTTTTTCTGAGCTGAAGGACCCTCAAAGGATGGATAGTCAACAGGGCAGCAACTACCAGACCTCAGGGGACCATTCTTCTATGTCTGTGGTGGTTAACAGTTGATCAATATAAAATGCCATCAATGCAATAACAAAGATTCCCAAGTATAGAAATAATGTGCAGAGGTCCACAATAATGTTTTGCCATGAGTTCAATGCACTCATTCAACCTTGAGGGGTCCATAGAGGTTGTGCTAGATGACCCAGTGATAGAAACATTACAACAGGCGCAAAATAAGTTTCCTTTTTCTGCACTTATGCACAAAAGCATAACCTAAAACGGAAAGTAAAGGGTGAATAAAGAAATCTGCAAAACAAGCAAATGTATACAGTACCGGTAATCTTGCCGTTGGCTTCGATTGGTGGCTGCCAGCTGACTATAACAGCTCGAGGCTTTCTTTCCCTTGTGATAACTGTTAAGTCCTTCGGGGCAGATGTTGGAGCTTGAAGTGTGGAAAGAGAAAAAAAATGAGTTGGCCAAGTAGGAAGTATAAATTAACAGTATGACAATCCAGGCGCTGGTAACACCTACGATCATAGCGAAGGGAATTATCAGGGAAATTCACATGTACAATTTTGACATTTTGACACTTTCGTGCCCCAGAGTTTTCTTTTACTAGCGCAGGAGATAAACTCTGGCATGAAAGGAACAAGTGTGTTGAATGTCTACAGCAATCTTCTTTTACCTTGATTCTTTTATGGAGGGGAGGGTGGGAGTGGGTGAACTCATGTACCATATAATGCACATTTTACAGTACGTACTAATATTTACAATTCCAACACAACCAAAGGGATAGATTTCAAGAGACAAGCTCAATTTCCAAAGCTGTTATTTTCATGGTACCTCACTATATGTAGCTCATATTGCTAAAGGTTTAGGGTCCATTTGTGCCACATTACCCTGCGCTTTAATGCAAGCATTTTAGTGCATCATGGCATGTTGTGGCAAACTGTGTTGGGCAACCCATATAGAATGCAACACAACTCAATGCTAAAAAATGTAGGATATTTTGCAGAACAATGCATTCTGGAGATATGTTGGGAATGCCACCACACCACATTGCACCAAGGCAAGTATGCTGTATTAGTGCATGTTGCTGTAGTACACTTTACTGCCCATGCCATTCATGTGTAAAAACGGCCCCTAAAGGCCATTTCTGGGGCAAAAATCTGGGTTCCTCTTTATCACCAATACCTACTAAATTTATTCATTATTTATTTATTTCAGGTACTTATATATACTGTCATCAATTTACGCAGTGCTTTACATAGATTGTACCAGGGGCGGACTGACAACTCATGGGGCCCCTAGGCGATAGGGATCATGGGGCCCCTGTGTCCTTGCCCAAACTCAAAAAAGCCTATGAAAAAGGTACCAGGGGCATCTCATGGGGCCCCCTACTGACCCCGGGCCCTCGGGCAGTGCCTGAGTTTCCAAATGGTCAGTCCGCCCCTGGATTGTACATTCACATCGGTCCCTAACCCTCAAGGGGTGTACAATCTAAGGTCCCTAACTCACAATCATACATACACATACTAGGGCCAACTTAGACAGCAGCAAATTAACCTACCAGAATGTCTTTGGAGTGTGTAAAATCAATGTCAATTCACTAAGATTACAGGGAAGGTTACCACTTAAAATACCACTAGCTTTAGGCTGGTGATAACTGTGAGTTTCAATAGGTATCCAAAGAGGAAAGCAAAAGAAATAGCCTTTTGAGCTAGTGATAAAGTATCACTTTGGTTCTGATTAATCTAGCTGCAATAGCATTAAAGGCAACCTAAAACCCAATGGTAGTTTCAGCAAAAAGTACTTATTTGAACCATGACAACATAAAAATTCTGATTTTCAAATGTTATCATTGATTCTATGCACTGCAGAGAAGGAGCACTGTTCACTATGTGGAAGTAGTAGCCTCTCTGCAGTTGTCCTAGAGCTCTTCAATCAGCAGGGAGCATGAGCTTTGCAGATTACAGCATTGTAGTTGTATTGATAAACAACTAACCACAGTATAATCAGTTGTTACCGAAATCACAAAATGCAATAAAAAATTGTTAAAAAAAGATATGTTTTTTTAAAAAGCAAAATAACACACAAAGGTGTTTAGAATTCAAGGTTAATTAAAATAGTTTGAGGTGATTGTAGCCGTATTAGTGCATTTGCGACAGAAACAATTGAGTACTGTCCGTGATACTTTTTTTATTTGCACTAACATACAATTTTGAGGACAAGCTTTCGGGGTATGTCCCCTTCTTCAAAGTCCAAGCAGTACTGTACAACAAATCACAAAGTTTCAGCAGAATGTTAGAAGAGATGAAGAAAAAAAAAAAAGAGAGGCTAGAGATAAGATACAGCCAAAGTGAGGGGGGAGGATACTACATTCACACAGAGGGAGTCAAGCTAGCTAACAGTCATAAAACTGTTGGATAATGAGTGAGGAATCCCATGTCCAATTTAAGCCGTTATCTCTTGTATCAAATAGAATTATCATTATTATTATTATTATTATTATTATTATTATCATGCAGCAAAGGATCTTATGTTGGCGAAACAGGACAGAAATTGCAAACAAGGATGAATTTGCAGAGACATACCATCAAGGAACATAAAGAAGATGACCTCTGCACACCTGTAGGACACCATTTCACACAACCAGACCACACAATGGGAGACCTCAATATTTTAGTTCTTAAAGGAAATTTCAAATCCATCCAGGAAAGAGAAACTTTTGAACTAAGAATGATAATTCTATTTGACACAAGAGATAACGGCCTTAATTTGGACATGGATTCCTCACTCATCATCCAACAGTTTTTATGACTATCAGCTAGCTTGACTCCCTCTGTGTGAGTGTAGTACGCCCCCCCCCCCCCCCCCTCCCCCTCGCTTTGGCTGTATCTTATCTCTAGCCTCTTTTTTTTTTTCTTTATCTCTTCTAACATTCTGCTGAAACTTTGTGATTTGTACAGTACTGCTTGGACTTTGAAGAAGGGGACATACCCCGAAAGCTTGTCCTCACAATTGAAAGTTAGTGCAAATAAAAAAAGTATCACGGACAGTACTCAAAGGTTAATTAAAAAAAATTGAGAAACAATTACTTTCTTTATATGTGGAGTTTCTGTAAATTTTTGGTGCTGACCCCGAACATGCTGACAGGAGGAGAGAGGAATGTGCTGCTGCTACTTTAGTGTCCAATCAGCAGCTGGGAGTATGTTCCTAACCAGGCTGTGCTGCTGCTAAAGTGGAGGACCTGTATTTGCTTTCTAGCAACAGTGCTTAGATCACAAGACTGACCATATAGAATTACATTTCTTTTGGTAGATAAGATATCTATGCATCTATTTTAACAGGGTACTTAACTAGTTGCAGTCCTCATTCTTCAAGGGCAACAGGTATAATGTCAATATAAGAGTAGCAGTTAGATTCCAAGGTGGGCAAAAACAGAAATGGGACCAAGATTTTGCCACTGGGGTTGTCAAGAGAGATAAGAAACTATTGGGTGACTCATATTAGTCTCCATTTATTCTTTTAGGCAACTGGACTGACCCTTGTAGTCTATGTTTTGGCAATTTAGTTGCATTTACCTGTCTCATAAGTAGTGGCGTGCGCGGTCATACTCCATGTGCTCGATCGCCTTCCTTTCGTGACCATGACTGAAAACTCATACATTGTGTTTGGCTTTAGACCCGTGACAGTGTGGCTTAAAGATGTTGTGTCGGCAGACTGATAAAAAAAAGAAGACACTATCAATTCACATTCTACCTTTTAACACTATTCAAAACTTTAAAAAGGCATTGTTGCTGAAGTTATAACTTAAAGCTATAAAACATATATAAAACAAAAAAGCATCAGGTAAAGAAAACATAATATGGGGATCAAAAAGACTCATCTATCATCTGGTGGGTGCTTCTGCCATTGTAGATACGACGTACCTTGTATTTCGAACTGGTGGAGTAGCTGGTTCTCCATCGTATGGTGTAGAAACGGACCTCTGCCATCTTCTGGTTCTTTAGGACAGAGTTATCTGCCCAGCTGACCCTCACGGCATCGTGCGTTAAAGCGACGGCCTGAACACCTACTGGTGGAAGCATGGGGGTGGACATTTCTGGGACCGAGGTGGGGAAATCATCAATAAAAGGATAAAACTCAATTTCTGAGGGATCCAGGGGGTCTGGATAATCATGCAGCAAATTAAAATAAAAGTCACGCAGCAAAGAATAACACAATGGGTTAAATGCAACATAAAGGTGAAGAAAGGTATGAGAGGAAGAAAAGAAATACAAATTATTTATGCTTCATATCTTTAATATTCTATTATTTAAAATATATATTAATATCATTATATACTGTTATATAACATTTTGTCAACAATATATAATGATATAATTATCTATCTACAGTACAGTATCTATCTATCTATCTATCTCTATCTATCTATCTACTATCTATCTATATCTATCTATCTATCTATCTATCTATCTACAGTATCTATCTATCTATATACAGTATCTATATCTATCTATCTATCTATCTATCTATCTATCTATCTA